TATTATGTACTCTGTAATTATAGTACGTATAGCTAAGTTAGATATTAGTGAAATGTAATTGCGAACAGTGTCGGTGAACGGCTACGACGCGACGAGCTGGCTAATGAAAATTTAAAGTAACCTGCACCACCACTTCACTTGTATGGGCGCAAACAACGAGCTCAGAGCGATTGCAGTTTTATCTAGAACAAATCACTTATTTTATTAAACAGAATTGTAAGGTAAATACATCCACAGACTATGATTTAAGAATAAGAATTAATAAATAGTCTTGTATGTCAAAACCCAACACGTACATGACATATAGGAGCCATATATGGGGCTAAATATTAACTCTGAATATTAGTCCTGAAGTTGGATTTATGTTTGAAGATAATATATTGTTTTCAGCCAGCATAAGCCTCAGGCCCTGGGCACACAATAGGGCCAAGGTATACAACTGACCAAAGAATTGCTGCGTGCAATTACCGTATTTGGTGTACGACATAGGTTTTTAACCTACAGTAGTAAAATTGCTATACAGACCTTACTATTTAAGAAAATTTACGTTTAATATTAGCTGCAGCAGTATTGTTGTTGTTGCTGGAGGAGTGTTGGCCTAGTAGTATCAGTGCGTGGTGCTCATTCTACCATCTCTGAATATCGTGGGATTTGAGTGACATCCTCGGTTATTCACCAATGCTTGTGGGGCCTTCTACGATGTGCATTAAAAAAAAGTATCAGCGTGCTCTCACGATAAACGTCGTGAGGAAACTGGCATACCTGGCACTGGCATACTGGCATAACTGGCAGACCCAAAAAGTCGCCGATGTGTGTCAGGCTACTGATCGGAATACTGATGTACTTGTCTATGAGAAAAAAACAAATGGAAAAAGATACATAAATCAGAGGCCCAGACTTAAATGGTTGTAGCGCCACTGGTAATACCACCAGCGTTATTATTTTTGGAACATTGCAATTTAATTTAAACTACAAACACCATTAGGTTAAAGAAGTATGTATACCGCTAATAGCAATTTTTAATTTATTAAAAATTTGTACACGGGTCTTAGATTTCTAGCTTACGGAGGCCATAAGGTCCCATTGTAGGGCCTTTCGAGTCTTCAAGTGTCTAGAGATAGATTGCATAGATAATTAAATGAGACTCTTACTAGAGGCAGATAGTATTGTTCCCTACATTTTTTTTCTTTAGACATTTAATAATAAATAAATTTTCAGATAGTTCGACACTGATGTTGAAGGTTTAGATCTATTGATTTGAATGTAGACCAAGTCAAAGTAAAAAGTTAAGTTAATTGTTAATATATTATAAGTGTTTTTATTCGGAATTTTTATCTTATATTTTTAATACTAGAGGTACATCGTGGAGGGTTAGGCATTCTCTGTTTTAATATTCTAATTTTTTAACCACAAGGCACTTTAGGCCAATACCAATTGTATAAACGGTAAATGGATTCGCGTGGTGTTTAAGTTTGACTAGTAATCCTGAAAGAAACAAAGTGCCAAGTCTATTCAGCTTATTGCGTGAGCATCGAGGGCACGAGCTCCATATTGCAGCGGTGCACTGACCTGCATGCCAACTAAGTACCTATTTTTATATGCATTGTAATATGTACTAACAGCACGAACGTATATATAAACGTGTACTAAAATTACTTTTAAGTAAGACATAATTATTTAACTAATACAGGTAAGCTAATTTATAATTAACATATCATTGATCACCTGATATCCGCAATGTTCTCTGTGTAAGCTCCAAGTTATTTTTTTATTTGGTTAATTATTTATTTCTTTTTATCTGTTTCTCTTCACCAAGTTTTGGTGTATAATTAATAAAATAAAATACAATCCTATGGTGACATAAAAAAAATTGTTTCAAAACAATCATCGCAATTTTGAGTTGTTCGTCGAGTTTTTTGTGTATACATTTAATAACGAAATTAACGTCACATATTAGATAGCGTAGGACAAGGTAATTGTATGTATGTATCATGTCGGACATGAAATGTGAGCGTTAGAAATTATTATCATAGAAACACTATAACAATGTTTTCCGGAACACACTTGGATATAATAATAACAACTTTATAATTGTGTGTGTACATGGTATTACGTCGGTAACCGCAGTTTGTATTTTTAACTTTTTAATTTCATACTGTCGAATTGTGTTGAAAAGGTACAGATATGTCCGTAAGTAAAACGGTTTAATCAGTTTTAAGCTATTGCATAGATTTGATCGCGGGCTTAGAGCGCGGCGACCAAATCAAGAAATTCCGTAACGAAAATAAACCTAACACACTATGACGTAATATAGGTGCGGCCAATACGCGTTAGAGCGGGACAGAACGCATACTGCGTCTCACATCGGTCTGGCGTGATCGGTGACGTAGTGGTAGATTTAGTTAATATAAAAAAACTGCATAAATAAATAATTAAAATTTCATATGTTGATAAAAAATGCTAAACAATAGCTTTACCGCGGCAGTCCCCGAGTGCCATACTTTTTTTTTTTAAACAAGGCGTTAAAACCAATAAGATGGGTCATAGCTAGTATATTATAAAGGATCTGTGTTCTCATAGAGGAACATCAAATACGTTTCTGGGTCTAATTAATAGACATTTATCATAGGCAAGTAACACTAAAGAAAAGGCTGATTATCCTTCTATCTAGTGTGTAAACCGGAGCTAAGGTTTTTAACATAGATGAACAAAAGTAACACTTTGTATTCACTTGATTTGTGGAAGGTTTTAATATTGTCATTAAATTAATATAACATATATAAATTCAGTTTATGTTCTTTTAGCAGCTATTTTTTTTACTATGGTGTGTTTTATATGAATAACAGAGAGTTAAAAAAATCATCAGTTGTTACTTTCGACCCCGGGTAGGCAGGTCGAAAGTAACAAGACGAAGAGGTTGGTAATTAATACAATATTAGATGTTTAATCAACAATTATTTATTTAGAAAGTAAATCAGTTCGATTCTGCATCCATCCACTAGCATTGCCAGCTCCGCACAACCAACAGGACCCTCAAGAATCGTGTGGTCTTGAATTGTTTAAATGGGAATACGAAAAAGGAGGTATGTGTCCTCCTTGAGCATTATGGCAACACAACAGTTCCTAATCTTCCACGTTCTGAGGTTACTCACCTACTTGTTTAGTTCCTTTTTTGAGCAACAATCTTGCTAGGTTTGTTTGTTACTTGTGTACCCATAGGACTATGTTACTTTTGTACCCTTCCTCATTTTTTTGAAACATAAAAATAACTTAAAAACGAACTGCTTAACAAAAACAAATTTAAACAATGTACTATCAATCTTATCAAAAATAGATATCAAACATTCAGATTACTACCATCCTTTTACGACTATGTAAACATTAAATAACAAAATATCGAAAAACTTAGTTTTGGTCTGTAAAAACACGTAGTATCCTCTCACACAACCTAACAGTGCGTGGAGTACGCGGCGACTAACTACAAGTGAGGGGGGCACTCTCAGCTATCGCCTGACGGCGGCAAGCTGTTTTCGCCATTGGATGAATCTAGAGAGCATTTGTTACTTTCGACCCGCCGTTACTTTTGTACCCGGTCTCCCCTATATATTTTCATTATTTGATGGCTATTTTTAATGAATTAAAAAACTTTTACAAATTTTACAGTTGTTTGTATGTTTAAGAGTTATAATATAATTCTTCAACTTTAAGGTTTCAGCTCTTATTTGAAACAGCTGTTAACACTAAGGGTAAAAAATCTAGATGTTAAAAAAAAGGATTGCAGCAACAAGTTGCATTTTATATTTGTAATTATAATGGGTAAGTCAAACTTAAACGAACAACAGTGAGTATCAAAAGCCAACTCTAGAAGGTTCATATCATAAAGTAATTTAAAAAATGGGCAATTATAACTTTATTTATCCATTTCACATGAAAAATTTGACCCATTTACTGGACGCAGGTACCAGTCAATACTTCAACGAAATGGGAGCATCCACACATGTACTTTGCAGTATATAACTTTTTTTACTAAATATTAAACTCTTGTTCTCCAGCGTATTCCGCCTCCTCTATTAACTAATCGTATATCTATTGAGTATAAAAAAATATCACAAATCTTTTCATTTATGTGTTACAAGCGGAAGGAGGCTTACTAATCTATTTCTAGTATAAAATTCATGTATCAGTACACTAAAAGCAGATTATATTTCTATTGATGAATAGAAGAGCGTATTTTAGACTTTAGGCCGGTCGTTATGGTGAGTGTGACCTAGATATTATAGCGCTATAAAAATAAAATCGTAACGTACTGTACGCAATATACAATTTGAAAAATCCAACTATTAAAATATTACTAGACGTACAAAAAATAATGTAATGAAATGTTTGTTTTATTACCATTATATAGTTTAAAAGTTAAAGGAATTTATGTTCATTTTAAGTACTAAGAATTTAAATTACGTTTTTTTATTCTACTCCGTTGCGCGAACACGACGTCGATGTAATTATTCATCGTAATTAAAATATTGTGCTGTTTTGATTTAACATATTCTTTAAATAGCATTTTACAAAACAACCGTTAGTTTTCATATTACTTATTTTTACTTTGAGTTTAAATTCTTAATATTAATTTCTTTATTTATTATAATTGCGAGCAGAAAATCGTAAAATTATTTTATGCATAGGTAATATTTATACAGGTGGAGCTTCCCGACGTATGAGAGTTCAACGTAATGTCAAACACCTATCTATATCAGAAATAATTTTACATCTAAATATAAACCGTGCATAAGAATTCACAACACAGCGCGCGAGACAGTGAGATAGCGCGACTCTGTTTTCTTGCCAATTGCTGTGACATTGTATCTATTGACACGGGCAGCGACTCGGTCCACAGCTATTTACAGATTGTAAAGGGACACGTGTTTCATCAAGCGCATGTCGTAGCAAAGGTCCCTCTGATTCATAACGGACCCTGGTGAATGGTATCGCTCAGTGGAGAGTCACGAGGACCGGAGGCACGCCGTGGCCGCAGACGCGCGAGGTACATATCGCCTCACCGCCCGCCCGCAATTTCGCGTAAAATTGGCAGCCCACGGCGGACGGGCGGGCGGCGGCGGTGCGGAGCGTCGCTCCCGAAATAGTGTTCGGGTGCGGTCGGACGCAGTCGGGCCCGTCGCCGCAGTCGCCGTGTGGCCGCGCGCGCGCTCCCGCGTCGCGTCCCATCGCTCTATGTGCCGCGCCGACGTAGCGAGAGGAGAGTGAGCTGCGCGTCTCCACGGTGTGCGTATTTTGGTCGCGAGGAGGCCCCGGGCCGCGTAGGGCACTCTGCCCGCGCGCTGGCCGCCGTGCTCTGGTGGTGGTGTGTGGCGCTGCTGCGGCTGGCCGCGCTCTGCGCGCCTCCCCCCGGCCCGCCCTCTACCGCCCGCGCCGCGGAAGATGCGCCCCAGGCGCCCGCCTGCTTGGCTTGCGCGAGCGCACCTCCCAACACCACCGTTGGTGTCACTACGCCGTTGCCGCCTACGGCTCATATACCTGCATATACTGGTGAGTACCTTTTGCCTACGATCGTCTCCCATCGGTACTAATATAACTAACTAGGGCGAGCTTATTCCTTAACTGAACCTTTGACAGGTGAGTATTTGGCGTCGACTTCGAGTAATACTAGGTTAATAAGATTCATACAAAGAAATTATATAAAACAACTAGCAGACCGGCCAAGCATTGCTGTGGCTAAGGATTTTGTTATATTACATAGTAGCAAAATATTCAAGGGAAACGGTAGGAGAACACCAGTCATGGGGACCACCATTTTTGGTGGTTATGCCATTAAATTGTAGCTTATGTGAAACGTTGGTACTTTCAACACAGCGCCATCTGTCAGAATTGTGACTATCAAATAATAAACAAATACTTTGCAATAAAATAATATTGCGGGTATAAATTGAGATGTAAGCTATCCTATCTTTTAAGTTGGATCAAACTAGACACGGTGTGCAAATTTGATTGATATCGGTTCGGTAGTTTTGAAGTCCATAGCGGACAAACAACGTGACACGTAATTTATATATATTAAGATATTCCACGTAACATCAAACGAAGGTCACGACGAAAAAATATTTTCATTCAACAATAGCGGAAACCACTAGAGATATTAAAGATTAAAACTTTAATGTGGTGGTACGAAAGTTTTATTATCAATGAAATGGTTTACAATGTTTTATAATTGAGATTTTAATGTAATTGTTATAAAATATAATAGCCTTATTGACACACAATTCACCGATAAAAACAAAAATCTAATTAAAACATTTAAGAATATACATATATTAATTGGCGAATACACTGCTTCTTACGTACATACCACTAATTGCGATTTTAACCCATTACAATATCTAGTCCTATAATAATTATATATTTTAGCATTACATTAAGATAACATGTATTTACCAATACATAATAATATTGGAATGAATTTCCTTTTCGCCATCACATACCCATATCAAAAGTTATCAGACGACGGCAACACCGTCCAATTCATACATGTGCACCGAATGGCGAACGTCGGAACCCCAAGGTCCTTACTGAACTCACAACCCGGTAAGAGAAAACCAGGTAAACCCAGGCAGCGTTGGTGGGATGGAGTTGTTAAACAATAGAGGTTCACAATTGAACCGAATCGAAGATGTTTTCACATCCCACATTGTCGAACAAACGTTGGCAGAAACTCACCAATTAATAGGTTATGTCGCTACCATAATGATATTGCACAGAGTTTTGACATTTTTCACGGTTCTCTGGCCTCAGCTAAGAGTAGAATTAGGACACAGTACCGATAATTTATTTTCTTGGTTCAAATAGTTTAATTCTTATATAGTTTGCATTTTTAATTTTTATGCTTGTTTGTATTTAACACTGTTTTTTGTATCTACTTGATTTCGCTGGTCGTGTCCACATGTTATAGGGACGGCACCGCTTTTGATATTAATGTATGTATGTCAATTTATATCATGTGTTTGTCCTAATTTTGTGGTCCAAATAAAAAAAAATAAAAAAAAATTGCACTGGATAGATTGCGTTGGCGAAGTGTACTTGAGGAGGCTAAGGCCCACAAGGGGCTGTACAACCATTGATGATGATGACGATGAGGATTTGAACAGCACGCTAGCTCGATCGCAATAAAATGCTTTATGAAAAAAATATAATCACCAAATGAAGGCTCAAATTAGGCAATGTAGCTTAAGTAGCTTCCAAATACCAAACATTTTGTCAAAAAGATATGAAAAACGACTGGTCACTAAACATAATCCAGCTAAAACCCCATTTTTTGAAGTCTAACTCAAAGCTATTTTTCATACAGCACTTTTGAATGATTAAATAGGGGGGGTGTAATTTAAACATATGATACGCATTACACAATTAAAACGTACATTGTTCTTTAAAAGAAAAAAAAATTGTATATCTTATTATTTTTTTATTTATTATTGTTATTTTGTGTGTGTCAGTGTGTGTGTTTTGTTAGTAATACATGTTATGTCTATGATACGATTTTAAAAGGAATCTTAAGGAACACTGAACTCGGGCTAATATTGTATGCCTGCACATGTAAGGCCATCTACATTTTCTAATTCCTTTCTTTAATCTCAGCGGAATGTTAGGGTATATATAGTAACTATTATATATACATAGGTCACAGTAACTTATACGGAGCGATAACTCGAGCACGATAAGGTTTGATAACAAACAACAATATTATACAATGTTATTATTCTATTTCTTGTTGATGAATGCAATTCAATAGCAAATACTAATCTAAAAGTAACTTATGGTGAGGTATCCTTACTTACAAACAAATACAAATCAAATGTGTAAGTGTCAAAGATTACTAACGATAATTACGGTTTTAACTTTAACAAATGTAATGAAATATCTAGTTTCTTGTAACAACTATAAATTACACGATAATTACAATATAATTCTACATTAGCAATAACTAACACTACTAGTTGTGTAACTATACATTTTTATATGATGTAAAACTGTATTTTTACAAGAAAACTAGTGGACCCCACAGACGTTGTCCTGCATGATATTTAAAGCGATTAGGATATTAAGCAAAGTATGAAAGTACCGACTGCAGTGCCATCTGCCGGCTGATTTGTGAATCTAAACCATTCCCAGATCCCCTTGAACACACACAAAAAATTCATCAAAATTGGTCCGTGTATAGAGCATAAAACATGTATTTTTACAAGAAAATATGACGTTACAAAATTTACACAAACACATCAATTATATTTTCATAATTTACAAACAAGCACGGAACAAAAATATAGGAAAAACAGCAAATTTAAACTGAAATGAATAAAATATGAATACCTACGTTGAAATGCTTACTAGTACCCATTTTGCACCGAAATTTGATCTCTATCAATTGACATCTATGCTAGTGTGTGCTCAATGTCAAGGAGACTCGTGTTAATGTTGAAAAAAAATTACGTATACCTAGCTCTAGAATTGCGGCTAAATAGAAATAATAAAACGGGTAAACGTGACATTCTATATATATATCATAAAAAATTCAGTGTCTTTAATTATCTTTTAATTCAAATAATATCAAATACAACATTATGAATCCTTACAAAGTCTGCAAATTTCTAAATTTTGGGAGTCGCCCCTAATATTGAAGGGTAGCGGGGAGAGGTTTGTTATGGCGGCGATAGGAAGCACCCAGTGGCACGTGTAAGAGCGGCCTTGAGACAGGAGGTCGTCGAACGCGGCGCGCCGATTCCGCAGACGCAGCCCGCCACAGCCCGCGGCGCCTGCGGACTGTGAACTTCCGACCCACGGCCTACGGCCCAACTAACCTGACACTCCCTCTGCCTCACATAAAAAACCTGCCAAAATTGAATCCCCACTCATGTGTAAATCGATAAGAACGTTATTTTCCTAAACGAAAACGTCTAGAGAATTTATTTGTTCTTAATTATTATAATTCACTGTGTTACATATTTAAATTGTATTGACCCATTAAACTTGGAAAGATTTTATAGTGTATGACGTGGGTTTATGATAATCTTTTTACAGATTTTCTATAGAGACTTCGAAATAGTCCGATTATGTGTAACCAATATATCAATAAAAATTCAGTGGTTGTGAAATAAATACTAATTATGATTAGTTGTTCAAGTGTCGCGCACAACAATATTTTCCGATAACTTAAAAAACATTATTACATTTGCATTATTTCTATGCAATACATAGCAAAATTAGTTGTACCATTTTGTATTATTATTTGTTGGCAATTCCAGGAGCGGCTTAGTGAGGTTCTTTCAGACTTGGCAAAAACTATTTTGTATACTGCATTATATAGGCAATCCATATAGCTACTATTATTTAGCTGTCTTCTATCATATTTTTATCATGCAAAATATGGCTCATCAATATTAATTTTTACAACCAATTTATTCGACTTAATATGAGTATCTACATAAGAAGAAATGTCGAGGTCCTTTCACAATAACAAAACTTTACGACGTTATTTAAACTGTACGTGTACTTTATGTATACAGCATCACCTACTTATAAGAAGAAGTGATAAAGGATGAGGGTGAAACATCTAAGAGGAGGGGGAAGTAGGTCGCGAGGACAACGACCCAGCTCGGCCTTTAACAAGCGGTATAGCTTTTCTACCCCCTGTGACGAATCTTTAGCAGAAACCTTTAAATTAAATACTCAAGGATAAACATTTTTGTACCTTATTAATTCATTGATACATTCGCAATGGGCTGGAGTTTCGGCGTACTGCCTATAAAGAAATATTACAAAACAACCAGGTTTCTTCTATTTCTTATAAAGGAATTTATAAGAAATAGAAGATTCCAATTTAACAAATACATGCGTCATTCGAATAAACTACGTAACTCCTAGCATTAAGAACATCTTGTTACCGTAGCTTATTGCGATCTCCTGAGTTATTTTACAAGGACTTCCTCAGTTAGCTATATACTGCAATACTTAGAAGAAAATATTTCCAACTTGAAGGCTGAAGGAAGATATTCTCTGCTCCATAACTGATAACTGCGTAAATTAATAATTAATCGTAAAATAATATTTATAATGTTTTTTATCCATTCGGGAAACAAACATGGCATTCAGTTTGCCTTTTACGATTATAATACAATTGCAAGTGTTTTGTTGGAGAGATTAAATTTCTTGACTTGTAAATCTACGCCCTTGATTTGAGAACTGGCAGTAAATGTAAAATTAGAATCATTAAATGTATTTTTTTATTTCGACGTTCATAAGTGCACATTGTGTTATGAATTAATGATTTTTGATTTGATTGATTTGATTTGCACCAACATACATACCAATGCACCAACAACATACAAATCCAAGCTAATTGTAAACAATTTAATTTGTGATAATAACATTATATTTAATTACTCTTAAGATCTATTTTATCAAGAGTGTTCATATAAAGAGTTTAAATATCTGTTCGAAAGTTAAATTTCACTTTCACGTAGAAGTGGATTATAATTTTTATTACTATAAATAAGCCTCTGGCAATCAAAGT